AAAAACATTTCGATCAGAAGTTAAACGAATATTATCATGCAACTAAACGTATATTGACAAAATCTTGAGATTATATAAGTGACCCGGTTTAAAAATATTTTTTTTGTTTTTATTTCAAAGAATAAAAGTAGAAACACTTTCTTCGATTATAAATAGTTCTATTTTTGTTTTTCATCCGTCTTTTTAATCATTTTTAAACAGCAAAAACAAATGTCATATTGTACTAGATTATGTCAGATTATAATCGAATTTTTATATAACAAAATCAAAATTATAATCTGATATAATCTAAAAGTTTTCAATAATGCTCAAAGTCATGAACAAGGACTAAACTATGAATAATTAAAAAATTATTGTTTAATTCCCTATACGGAATAATTCATATGTAAACTGCTTTTACACTGACCAACATTCACATTCACGAACCCAACTCATAGCGCAGACTGTAGGGATGGGTCATTTGACTTAACTTGAAATTAAATTAAGTTTTTGACTTAACACTTACTATTAAGTATTAAGTTTTTTCATTAAAAATCAAAACTTAATATTAAACGCTAAGTCAAAAAACTAAATTAAGTGACTTAATCACTGTTGCCAGATCTTTCGGATTTTCCCACTTGTTCTGAATTTTCACGGATTTTATATGTAGATGATTTTTATTGAATTAAATTTTATTTATTAGTTAATATTCAAAAAAAAATTTTTTATTTGACACCGGCTCAGTGGCTTATACTTCTTATATATTTAGTTTATTATATGTTGAATTTTGATGCTGATTTTCTTTTGAGTGGGTGTGGGTGCTAGGCGAAGACAATGCCCAAACCCACATCTACACCCTTGTCTCTAAGTTTTGTATCAGAGGCAGGATTACCAATCTTTTTCATATTCATATTCTTGTAGAGCCTAATGAATTCTATAGAACCGTAGGAAAAAATTTAGGAAACAATATTTCACGTCGGACGTTACAAGAGTACTTTTTGCTTTTTCTAGAATGTATACTATAAAAGTTTCCATTGAAAATTAATAAAATGACCTTAATTCAGATGATATCTTTAATCTTTTTCTACAAAATGACAAAATTTGACTAATCACTTCGCATATCTTTATTAGAGATATCTTTGAAAAATTTGAATCGCTATTCAGATGCGAGAAAAGTGTTTTAAAAAGTCGCAAACTAAAGTTATTCTTCTTTGTGAATTGATACTCTATGTAGTGTTGAATCTTGTTATCGAGAAAGAGATCATCTTATGAACTTTCGAAAAAATTAGTTTTATTATTATTGAGGTTTTCCGTCTGTCTTCTAGGATCCAATATAGACATTCGCACTGTTTGGCAGTCCAGTGTCAGCTTTCAAATAAAAACTAATTGTATAACTGGCACCGACAACACTGGAAAAATATTGATAGAGATAATCAACAGCCCCTGTCGATGCATCTTTCCAATAGTAACTACCCGATTGTGTATACAAAGGATCATATTGTAAATATCCAAAATTCGTCGCATTATTCGGATTGCATGATGCCCAGCCAGACATGGTACCAGAGTCAAAATCACCATTCGTCAACAGTTCTGTACTTGTACCGATTCTTTTCACAGACAATGTGTCTAACGACCAGTTTTTTGAATCCATACGAAACGACAGTGTTAGACGAGTCGATGTAGTAACAGCGATGTAATTGTAACTATATTGTGTATAACTTTGACTTGGACTGTTTGTTAAATTAAGCAGCATTGTTGCGCCTGTTAAACTCGATATGCAAGTGAACATAGTTGTTGTTGTTGTTGTTGTTGTTGTAGTCGTTGTTGTTGATGAGGCTGAAAAGCAGAAATAACAGGAGATAGAATTTCTGACCCTTTTTTTCATATTCTAGTTAATGGGAGTTCTTTAAAAAAATGAACATACTAGTGGTTGCCGTCGTAGTTGTAGCACTTGTCGTACTAGTTGATGATGTCGTAGTTGTACTTGTTGTTGAGGCTGAAAAGTATAAACAAAGGAAGGGAAAATCTTGGATTTTTTTCATGTTTTTTGGTCTATATTAGGTAACTGGAACAGTATATTTCTTGCCCATTATAAATATGTTAGATCAGTGCATGGGTTTTTCTTTGTACTTCTCTTATTGATTATGGTAAACTCTGACATTGCTACAATCAAGTAGAATTCAATGAACTCTAGAAAATGAATATATTTTCTTCCAAAACGGATCCGATGTAGTGAAATTTTTGAGAATATTGTATCGCGATACATGAGTGTGGTTAGATCATATCTATCCTAACCTTATTCACCCATCCCCTCTCCTCAAGAACTGTAATAAAAAATACTTCTCATCTAGTCGATCGCTTACTCCGTATTGTTGTTGTTGTTGTTGTCGATGATGATGATGTTGTCGACAATGATGTTGTTGTTGTTGGACTGTACCTATATTTGCACAATGAAGTTAGAAACAAGTAATTAATTATTATGGCATTTGCACATAAAGACAAATTCAATAATTAGTAATAGCTAAGAGCGACTGTTTTTCTTTCTCTCATACTGTAGTGGTATGTAGGAGATGTAAAATTTAGTGATAAAAAAATGTTTTACATTACATTAACTAAATGAGCAAGATGCGGATATAAGATGACGACAATATCCACACCCGCATCCTCAAGATGGTTACACATTTCAGGATCTGTTTTACTATTTTCAAGAACAGAACAGTGAATCTGGATTTTGCATGAATGAAAATACTATTCTATCGATGATTTTATCACGTTCTTTTTTAATACTTTTAGTAGAGTGAATGCAGTTTGTGATATACTAAGATTCAAAAAGAATATGATTCAAACTTACGTGGATGTTGTTGTATCAATAGTCATTGCTAAAACAAAAGAGTAAATGTGTTAGATTTTTTGTATGAAATATATACTGATGAGAATACATGAGATTCTTACAGATATTTTACGAGAATGGAATAATAAATCAAAAGAAAGTTTTATAACAGTAAGACAATTCTGAATTGTATTTTTTATAATTCTATTCAATTCGGTATGGTTTCTAAGAAAAACTAATTAAACTGTTCTTTACTCGACGAAGAATCATCATAAAGAGAGATGTTTAAACTTGGAAATTTCTATATACTTGTGTTGCTCATATGTTATTCACGTTACAAAAAATAATGTTTATTTTTTGTCGGTATTTGTTTTCCTTCAAAAAGTTCTATAATGGTATTTGATTGACTATCGAATTTCATAATATGAAATTCATATTACTTACGAGCTGGTAATTGTCCGTTATTAACAGCAGTCATAGTTATAATGTTTGCTTGGATGATCAGACTACCATATTGACTTGGAATATCAACGAAGAGTTCACATTGATTATTGGATTGATCAAATGTAAGCGTACGGCAATCGATGTTAACTAAACACGCAATTTCGCAGGCTCTCAAGTTTAATGCCAAAACGATAGTAGAAGATGAACAACCATAATTAGTACATTGATATTGAATATTGTTCAATTTAGTTAATAATAATGAACGTATATCTTGTGATATTGTTTGGGTAATAATAATAAAGAAAAGAAACAATACAATTGTGTTTCTCATGTTAAATAAAAGTTAACTGTTAAACAAATGAATGTGTTTCTAACAAAACAGCTACCATGTTTTCTAAATTAAAAAAAGAGAGAGCAACATATAAACTATATTTTCTTTTGATCAAACTGCACTCAGTATAAAATGGGAGAAAACATGTTTCTTTCTTTCTTTCTTAGAATGTTGATATTTAATTATTATTTATGAGAACTGTCTTACCGGGCAAGATTCGTGTACTTTTGCCTGATTCTTTTTCTTTCTTGCATCTAACATGTTTATTCAAAAACCAATAAATAATAAAAATAATGTATTTACATAAAAATAATGAAAAAAAAAATATTAAAACCATTTTATTTACATAAAAGTTACAACAGAAAAATAATTAAAATATTTCATTTCATATTAAAAGCTCATACCTGTTACTGAAATTCGTCGACTTCATATTTGTTGCTCGAACCGATGATTGATCTTTTGTCAAATCGTCACCGAAAAAGCCTAAAATCAGCTATAATTTGTTATAGTGGTATGATTCCATATATGCACAATGGCTCAATTATATCGTTGCTATATCATCACGCTGTAGCAGCTATATCTTTTCCATGTTGGACAGTATTTGATCAATACGTCATTACTTCTCGCAATGCTGGTTTTAGAAATCGATGGAGTTCAGTTCGTGTTGCTCGATGGATAATTGTTTATTTACCCATTATCTTTGTTAGTGGTATTATTGATGGTGTTTGTGTTTTACAAAATGGTACATTTACTCTATTTAATACTTATTTCTTAACACCATTTGTATATAGTGTGGGGCCATTACTCATTATGACAGTATGTACATTGAGTACTCTACGAAATCTTCGTTCAATACGTAGTTTCAGACAACAAGGTTATTTAACTAGACAAGCTCGTCGAATGCTTATTCCTCAAGTGATTGTTTTAGGTGTATCTAGAATTCCATTTGGTTTTCAAAGTATTTATCTTGAATTAACTAAAGAAATTTAAAAAGATTCTTTTCGATTGGCTTTGGAACATTTCTTTGATCAAGTGATACTTCTATTCTTTCACTGTAATTATGTTTGCACTTTCTATATTTATTTGTATGTGTCAAGTGAAGTGCGAAGAATTTTCAAAGATTTAATTTTCAAATGTCTTCGGCATAATAATATTGTAACAATTCGTTCTACAGCTCACAATGAAGTTCATTGTCGAATGTTGAATATGACTCAAGATTCATCTCATAAGGAAGTTGTTATCGCTGCATATGCAAGTGACTCAATAGATACAACTGATGTATGAGAATGACACTTGTCAGTATATTTTTGATTGTATAATCAATGTTTCCCGTTCATATAAATTATATATATTGTAACTCGTGCCTTGTACATTTTTAGATTAATTAAAAAATATAATCCGAATAAAGTTAGTATAGAAGGAAAAAATACTTTATTTAATCATACTATTTATTAACAATGATAGGGTGTGGGTATAGGTATTATATTTATATCACACTCACACCCATACACACACACCCCACACTCACCCTTACACCAAGCGGATTATGGATGTGAGTTTTATACTTATCTCTCATACTCACATCCACATGGGAGATTAAAAAATAAATAAATAGAAAAAAAATAGTTACAAAGGAATAAAGCAAGAATTTCAGTAACTAAATTTTTAAGCGCGGATATTATATGTTGTAATAACAATCTCTTATTTTTACTTTCCTGTATTTCATCATCATGTTTCAATTAATATTGTTGTATTCTGTTACCATTTGTATGACACTATGACAACATTTTTAGAAAATTTATTTCTTTGAAATGACGAAGCAAAAAAAAAATAACGACTCTCATAATCAGCTAGTTAAATAAAGTTTATTTAATTGTTAAAAAAAATAAATATTTTGTAAATAAGAATAACACATTCTTTGTGTGGCATTTATATTAAAACAAAAACAATTATTCATATTAAAAATATCTTTTTTTTTCTTTCCTTAGTTTTAAAAAAATAATTCTAACAATATTTTTTTTTTCATAAAGAATTTGCATCAAATTGAATACACAACAAATTTCTTACTTTACTTTGAATAGAAGAAAATATCTTTTGGTAAGTACTGACTTTTGTATAGGTTAGAAAAAAACAAAAACAATCTTGATTCTTTCAAATCATTATAAAGACTATCGAATGAAAATTTCTAGACAAATGATATCCATACTGAAGAACAGCAGAAAGATTTTTCGAAGAAAAATAAATAATCAAATATCCAAAGGTTTTATTTATTTAAGAACTACCATAATAGAAAATGGATGACTAGAAAATTGTAGAGAAAATAGAACATTATCACAATAAATTATCATATATGTTGGCTGAATCATACTTCCCTGTATAATTTCTATGGGGATAGATGCATATATTTTTTTCTTTATCTGAAAGACTTTTATAATTAAAAATATAATTATACAAATGAAATTTTTGCAGCTAAAAGATATATGTTTGATATTTCAAAATCATTTTCACATAATAGATCGATGTTTAATATGTAAATCATGATGCTATGAAGCCAAGCAAAATAATATTTTTTTTTCCAAAAATACGAGAAAACTATAGTTTCATCACTGTGCTTATTATTTCTTAAGTTTTACAATTAGCTAAATATAAATTAAAATTTATTTCGTGAATTACCTTAGAAAATACGCGTTATAATTGATATTTTAGATAAAAAAATTAGAAAACAATTATTCTCTCGTATATGAATATAATTATATCATAAGAGACGCCATATCTTATTCAGAATCGTAAGAAAGAATAGTTTTCTAACTGTACAAAAAATATTTTAGAATATGAAAGTTATCTATATAAAATGCACAAAGAAAAGTTTTTCCTATTACGATATTAAAAATAAGTAAAGCATCAAGACGGTTACTGTGAATCATTTCTTCATGTTTGTTGAACGCACCTTGAATATTCTTTTTCTTCATTTGATGATTAAGAGAAGAAAAAAATAGAAAAGATTACATTTTAAATTAAACAACTAGTTTGAATGTATTCTCAATCAAGAAATTGCTGAGATGCAGATTTTACAAAAGTAAAGTTTAATTATTTCAATTGGAGAAAAATATATATTAGAATATCTTGAAAAGATGCATTTTCTTGTATTGATATATATTCGAGCTAAATATAAATACTTAAACAGATTGATACATATTACATACAACAAAATTCGATCTATGAAAAACTTATTGTGAATTATAATACTAGAAGATATCGATAGTAAAATGTTTTCATTGTTCATATTCTCTTTCTCATAGAAAAGAGTGCAGCAAAAATAAACTGTCTACTTGTGGATTCACTTTTCACTGGTTGATCGACGAATATCGACCATACACCTATATTCTATTGGATTTTGCAATAACTAATTCGATGGTAAGTATTAATTAAATTAATAATTTTTGTTTTTTGTGTTTAAGTTATTTATAATAATAAATCGATCGGTAAGTATTTATGAATTTAAGTAAATTTTTTTTTTTACTTACTTTCTTCTTAGATTATTATCAAAGATAAACCCAACAGCAAGTATTAATTAAAATAAATGAACTATTCAATCTAGTCGGAGGATCCGATTATATTGTTTTTCTTATTCGATATCTATGATATATAGAAAAATAATTACTTAACAAATTATAGTACTCGTATAATACTATTGATCGATCAAGCAGCCTTATACGAATAGTATAGCTCCTAAAAAAAATTATGTTTTCTTGATACATCATAGAAACTGCATCAGAATAAAAAGAATTGGAATCTCGGCCAGACTGGTCGCTACAAATATCGGGTTTTATATTATTTGGAGAGGAAGGAGATACGAAAAGCTTATGAGAATACGATGAAACACAATGTCGTAAACGATCTTCCAGAGATATGATGAAAATAACAATCCTTTTAAATATACAGATCATTTTCTATCTGTATTATCTAGCATATAAATGCAATCTCTAAATTTGTGTTTCACTAACTGATCATGTAATCATTTTTAGGTATGCAGAACTACTTGATATCATAAACTACGTCTTAATATAGTAAAAATTAAGCTCTAATGCGTCGTATCAAGCACACAGATAGCGACATAACATTCATCTATAAACTTTTAAATATTTATTATGCGAAAGAATATGTAGTTGTATGAAAAAATCACCAGGATGAACTCTTAAATACTATTTTATTTTATAATTGCTTCTATTGTATAAAATCATATCTCAGAAGTGTATGGAAACGCTTAGAAACAGTTTTTATGAAAATATTAAAAGATGGAGTATATACGAGTTACATTATATGAGGTGAAGGACACTTTATGAAAGAAAACTTACGGAATGTTATCAAGATATCTAAATGTATCCATTAATATGAAAGTGAATTCTATTTTAGATATATAAAATGATATTGTTTGGTTTTCACAATGTTTGGCTGTTTCTATCGATTGTTAGACAAATATCGGGTAAGAATTCGATAAAACTATTTACTATATTCTTCGAAAGAACCTTCGCCGTATTTTCTAGTCGAGAAATGATCAGACCAAATATACAATGCACATTCCCAGAGTTCTCTCTTGAGTTTTAATCAGAAGAATCCGGCTGCCGGAATCACTAAGGTATCTGCCGATAAAAGCTCGGCAAACATCCTACTAAATCTAATAGTTAGATTCTAAATGTAAGATTTTGAGTTTATGATGATCATTACTATTTGAATTGTATTTCATAGTTCTATGATTTTTCACAGGTATTTCATACAATCAACCAAAACTTTGTGCAAATGCAACGTGGAACCAGACGGCTATAACTTTTGCCAATATCACCACGGTTGGCACACAACCTGTAGGCATGTTTATCAATACAGATAACAGCGTTTATGTAGCTGATCAAACGAATGGGAGGATTCAAGTGTGGCTTAACGGAAGTACTACACTTACAGGCACACTCTCGGGTAACTTATCCGTACCTAATAGTGTTTTCGTTACGGACAATAGTGATGTTTATGTCGACAATGGCTACACAAATTATCGGGTTGATAAATGGGGATGGAATTCAACAAGCAGTGTTCCAGCAATGTATACGTGTGGACAATGTTACAGTCTTTTTGTCGATATCAATAATATGCTTTACTGCTTAATGGGTGCGTATCATCAAGTTGTCTCGAAGTCACTGAACACACGTTTAAATGTATGGAGTATTGTCGCCGGTACAGGTACAGCTGGATCAACATCGGTTACACTTAACTATCCATACGGAATCTTTGTCGATATTAACTTGAATTTGTATGTAGCTGATACTTACAACAATAGGATTCAAAAATTTGCCTCAGGACAATTGAACGGAACAACAATAGCAACAGGACCCATTGTATTGGCTGGTCCAACTTCTGTTATACTTGATGCTAATGGGTATATCTTTATTGCTGATTGCTGGAATAATCGTCTTATTGGCTCAGGGCCTAATGGGTTTCGATGTATAGCAGCATGTTCTGGATCATATGGTTCATCATCTAGCCAATTATACAATCCACGTGTCATCAGTTTTGACACCTATGGAAATATATTTGTCACCGATCAACAAAATAACAGAGTGCAAAAATTGTTTTTGTTACCAAACTCATGTAGTAAGTTAAAACTAATTCTCTCATATGTAAAACGATGCATCATTATAAATATGTGATTATTTTATAGATGGAACGACATCAGTAACAACTATCGCCACAGGTATTTTCAAATAATTTCTTATTGACTTATATTTTACTAATTAATAATTTATATTTATTTTTAATAGTAACTTCAATGAATAATACTCAATCAGTTTCTTTAACAACAACAACTGCATCATATTCAAATCGTATGTAATCATTTAATAAGATAGGAATTCTGTTTTGAGCATTTCGATTATTTATGAAATAATTTCAAAAGAGTAATAGAAAATAAATAAATTCATTCTTTATTTATGTCTTTATAGACATAAAAAGGATTTTATTTCGGGTTTTGCTTAAAAAAACGTGAGGGTATGAATGTAGATATGTAATGGCTGGGTGTATTTTTGATAAATAGGAAATTAATGGATATATATTTTTTGTAGCTATTTCATACAATATGCCAAAACTCACTGCATATACTTCTTGGAGTTCCAATGGAATAACTTTTGCGAACACCACTGTGATCGGAACATATCCTTACGGTGTATTTATTGATAATAACAATACGGTATATGTATGTGAGTATTCTTTAAATCGTGTTCAAGCATGGCCTGAAGGTAGTAGCAATCCCACAAGAACTATTTCTGGTAGTTTAAACCTGCCATATACTGTTTTCGTTACAAGTAATGGTGATATTTATATTGACAATGGTAATGTAAATAATAGAGTGGATAAATGGACATTAAATGCCACAAATAGTACTGTGGCAATGAACGTCAAATATATCTGTGCCGGTCTTTTTATCGATATTAATAATAATATTTATTGTACACCACTTAATTATCATCAAGTTAATACGAAATCATTGAATAGTAATTCAAATATGTGGACTATTGCTGCTGGTACAGGCTGTTCTGGATCAACATCAAATACGCTTCATGATCCTCGTGGAATTTTTGTTGATACAGATCTTAATTTATACGTTGCTGATTTTACCAATGATAGGATTCAAAAATTCCTATCTAAACAAGTAAATGGGATAACGATTGCAGGAACTGGAGCAACAGGAACTATTAGTCTTAATGGTCCTAACGGAATTGTTCTGGATGCAGATGGTTACGTATTCATTGCGGATTTTTACAATAATCGTATTGTTGGATCAGGACCAAACGGATTTCGTTGTTTAGTAGGATGTTCAAGTATTGCAGGTTCAGCATCTAATCAACTAAATCTTCCAACAAGTTTAAGTTTCGATAGTTACGGTAATATGTTTGTTGCTGATAGTTCCAACCATCGAATACAAAAGTTCATTTTAATAAATACTACTTCTGGTAAATATAATAAAAATTTTTTTTATATAATTAGACAACTAAAACGAAACATTTTAAATCAAAAATATAATATAGAAGAGATTTCGCGGAATACGTGAAGTTTATTTACTGTATATCAAAAATTGTCCCATTTTTTGAGGTGAGAGAAAGAAGAGTTCTCTGTATTTTTTAAATGCGCTCCATCTAATAATAAATCTCACTGAACATAAAACACGTTTTTCTTGAATTTTCATAATCTTTGCCTCAACAAATAGTACATATAATAGTAGATCTAGCTTTCATATAAATGCCATGTTTCAAGACTTGACAGTTAAATAATTCCAATTGGATATTATCGAATCGAATAAGATTCAACTACTGGATTAATTGTTCTGTGTAATGATAATTTGTATAAATCAAGATTTAAGAATATAACATGTCTTAATTCAATCCAAAGAGATTTTCATCTTATTTTAGATTTGATTATTAATCAACCAAGCTTCTGTCCATCTACAACATGGTATACAAATGCTATTACTGTCGCTAATGTCACCACCGTTGGTGTTCAACCTTATGGCCTTTTTATTAGTATGAGCAATACTCTTTACGTAGCGAATATACAAAACAATAGCGTTCAAATGTGGCTAGAAGGAAGTGTAAATCCTGACAAAACTATTTCTGGTGGTTTGTATCAACCTAGAAGTGTTTTCGTTGCACCTTTGGGCGACATATATATCGACAATGGTGCCTCTAATGGTCGAGTCGACCAATGGTTCGTAAATGCAAATAGTAGTGTTCCTTTTATGACAGTTTCCAACTTCTGTGGTAGTATTTTTATTGATATTGAAAATACTCTCTATTGTTCAGTAAGTAACAATCATCAGGTTGTCAAGAAATGGTTAAATGATAACATGACTGCGTCAACTATTGTTGCTGGTACGGGTACTGCGGGATCGGCTGCAAACATGCTTAATTTACCTTATGGAGTCTTTGTTGACGTTGATATCAATTTATATGTTGCAGATTGCTCAAATAATAGAGTGCAGCTCTTTCCTTTAGGGCAGTCAAATGGAATAACTATAGTTGGAAGCGGAGCACTATCAACTATTTCACTCTATTGTCCAAATGGAATTACATTTGATGCCAATGGTTATCTCTTCATTGTGGATCAAAACAATCAGCGAGTTGTTGGATCAGGACCATATGGTTTTCGATGTATATTCGGATGTACAAGTGTTACTGGTTCAGCATCTAATCAATTCTATTATCCACGAAGTCTTAGCTTTGATAGCTATGGAAATCTTTTTATCGTTGATCAATATAATTCAAGAATTCAAAAATTCATTATAGCGTCAAATTCTTGTAGTAAGTTATTTTTAATGCATGTTTTCGATGACACACATTTATCTATTTTAGGTCTTTCTTATAATCAACCAACATTTTGTTATAATGCTTTATGGTATTCTAATGCGTCAACTTTTGCATCGAATAGTACAATTGGTACGTTACCTTATGGTATTTTTATTAATGGAATTAATACTGTGTATGTACCTAATCAAGTTAATAATACTATTTTATCATGGCCACAAGGAAGTGATACATCAACAAGTAATAGTTATAGTAATTTGAGTAATCCATATAGTCTTTTTATGTCTATGGCTGGTGATATTTATCTTGATAATGGTTATTTATATGGTCGGGTAGATAAATATATATTTAATACATCAAATCGTGTTACTGTTATGAATGTTAATGGAAGTTGTTATGGTTTATTTATTGATATTAATAACAATCTTTATTGTTCCCTCAAAAATCGTCATCAAGTTGTTAAACTCTTACTTAATAATGGTACAACCATTCCGACAATCGCAGCTGGAAATGGTTCTGCAGGATCACTATCAAATATGCTTAGTTTTCCTCAAGGAATCTATGTTGATAGTAATTTAAATTTATATATTGCAGACAGTGCTAACAATCGTATTCAATTCGTTCGAACTGGTCAATTAAATGGAGTGACGATCGTTGGTAATGGTTCATCGACAAATATTATACTCAACTATCCAACTGGAATTGTCCTTGATGCGAATGGTTATTTATTTATTGTCGATAGTTATAATCATCGTATTGTTGGTTCAAGTTATTATGGTTTCCGATGTATAGTGGGATGTTCGGGAGGTGGTTCATCTGCGTCTCAATTATCTTTTCCACAAAGTATGGCTTTTGATAGTTATGGAAACATTTATGTTACTGATCGAAATAATAGTCGAGTGCAACAATTCACTCTTCAAACTAACAATTGCAGTAAGTTATTTTTATATAATGAGACATTATGAAATTGTAGTTGATAATTATTTTTTTGCGACTATCATTTGAAAAATTGACAAAAATCAAATGAAATGTTGTCTGAATCATTTGATCTCATATTAATGTTTTTAATATAGCTTCCTCTAATTTGATTGAATAAAGCATAATTATTTCATATTTCAGCAATACCGACCACCACCACCACTACTACTACGAGCAGCAGCAGCAGCAGTACCACTACTACTACTACTACCAGTAGTACTACAAGCAGTAGTAGTACTACGAGTACCACTACCAGTACTACCAGTAGCAGTACTACGAG